AAGAGATGAGGACTGAACAGAGGTGAGCTTTGCAGAGATTAGCATGGAAGACATTCAGAGAGGATTTCATTGAGGGTCTTTGAGGGTCCCCTGAAAGAAGTCAGGTAGGAAAGTTTAGCTAGTCAAATTCACATCAGGTTTTTGAGCTGAGTTGTAATAGTAATGATAAAGTAAATAGAAGCATTCAGAAATAAATTTAGGTAATTTTTCTGTATGACCACAGGTTGTTGCTGACTCGTGCTTTGTGGAAACATAGTTTCCAAGCTAGGTCTGAGACACAGTTAATGTGGTACTTACTGCTTTCTACAAGATGAGGTTTCTTGGGTTTGGTTAGTTCTTTGTCCTTCCATTGCTCTGGGTCCGGGATTGTCCTTTTTAGTATTCTTTTGTCCCCGGGTGGCATTCTCCTAAATCCAGCAGTGGGTTTGCATTCTGAGGATTGCAGGTGTTTAGCTGCCGTCTCTTCGTCTTTGGTGGGCTGTGTCAGGCTCCTGGGGGTCTCCCATTCTTGGGCTTATTGGATTTGTCCTTAAGGGCTCAGCAGAAACGGGGTGATGAGGTGGGCAGAAACTCCTCCTCTGCCAGTTCCCTGTCCTGTTAGCTGTGAACACCAGTCTGGGTGTGCAGCCTTCACTGGGGGAGCGGGGGAGCCTTCAGGCAGAGCTGATTTTCCCTGGAGATGCATGGGGCAGGGGAGTGAGCCATAATTAACTGACACCAATCTAATCAGGGTGTGTGTGTGTGCGTGCGTGCACGTGTATTCATCTGTGTTCCTGTCCTTCACTTCTCCTTTCACTCTCTGAGCATGCGTCACAGGCTGCTTGTCTCCTGGCTTTGCATGCTGCCAGCAGAGCAGTCGCAGATGGCAGGAGCCTAGACTCTGTGCGGCTGCCCCTGGGTCCCTGGGGAGTGGCCCTGGCACAAGGCTCTGCACTCTCCAGTTGGGCTGGGTCGTTGTTTCTCTCAGCTGAGAGGCCTGGAGGCAGCAGTGCCACCTGACTCTGGCCTCTCAGTGATGACAAGCTACAAAGAGGTCATTGTCCAGGTGGGAGTGGCTGCTGGGTTTTCTTGGGCCAGACTTACCCATTGAGCTTGCACTGCTTCTGCCCTGGGCCCACTTGTTCTCACAGGTCTCTCTTGAGCAGCATCCTCCCGTGTCCCTGGTAACCTTGAGCCGTAGTGGTGGGGCACCCATGTATCCTTTCCTTGGCTTGAAAGTGAAAGTGGCATATGACTATACTGGGTAGGGATACCTGCCTGCCCAGCTTATTCCTGGGTTAGAGAAATGGGAGCATTTGATCTTAGAGGACTTTCCAGCACATCTGAATTACGCACAAAAAAGTTCTGACTTCTGAAGTTGGTTTCCCCACCTAATAACTGCTCGCTGAAGTTAACATTGTTTTGTTTCTTCTTCTCATCTCAAGGAATTGTGGGAATGTATTCTGCTCCAGTTGTTGTAACCAGAAGGTTCCGGTTCCCAGCCAGCAGCTCTTTGAACCCAGTCGAGTGTGCAAGTCTTGCTATAGCAGCCTACATCCCACGAGCTCCAGCATTGACCTTGAACTGGAAAAACCCATTGCTGCCACTTCAAATTGAAGCTTAAGTGACCTGGGACAGAGGCCAAGCTGCTGTTCCTTGGACTTGCCCGTACGGCCTGGGCAGACTAAGAGGCCCGCGCACTTTGGAATTGGGGCATGGAACCACCTGTGCAGAGTGACAGAAATTTGGGATGTACCACTGGATTGTAGATTGATTTTTTTCTCCCTGTTCCCCCTCCCCCTTTCCCTTTCTCCTTCTGTCCTCAAAAAAGAAAAAATTCCCTGATTGTCTTAATTTTTTTTTTTTTTTTTAAATAGAATGCCAGCGGTTGCCCAATCCCTGTAACTGCTGAGCTGCCTGCTGTCAGGCTGTGCTGCAGGTTGACTTGGCTCCTTGGGGTGGGAGGAGGCTGGTTAGAGCCCAGAGTGGAGGTCAGACAGTGAGTGCAGAAGAAAGCCGGTGCTGGCTTTGGTAGCCCTTCCTCACACCATCACCAGGTTACAGCTGGCTGGAGGTCTGCTGCTGGGGAAGCTGGTGGCATCTTCCCCAAAAGCTTGCCCTGGGTGCCATCTCCCAACTGACAGAAGGATACGTGGGATTGCCGTTTGAGGGGAGGGGCACAGAATTCATGGGATTCCAAAGGTCCTCTTTGGGGAAGAAAGTGTATTTCCTCTGAGGCAGCAGCGAGGGGCTGGGAATGGGTGACCAGCTTTGCTCCTTAGCAGCAAGCAATGGACTTCTTTGCTCTCCCCCATGGGATTCTGTTCTTTACTTGACCCAGATTTTCTAGGGCTCCTTTACTTTCAGGGGTCTGCCTCCCTGGGCCAGGCTGTGTAGTGCTTCCCACCCTCAGGCATAAGATACAAACTGGCCACGGTGCAGTGTCCTTCTGCTGTGGCCGTGGCCAAAACCTGCCCTGAGCCTTGGCATACCGAGAAGCCCTTTCCAGAGCCTGGTCCCCCAAACAATCTCTCTTTGTTGGCCAGCACGGGAAATCCAGACTCAGGGTTCCAGAAATTCCCCATTCCCAAACCAAACAAAGCATGGATCTCCCCTGTAGGGGGTAGAATCAGCCTTTTAGAATGCAGGCCTCTGGAAACGGAGCATGTACCCATTACAATCGGCCTTCCTGCTCCCTGCCACCTTGGGGCAGCAGGAAGGGCCCAGCAGCCTCCCCACCCTGGTCCTGTGGTGGCCAGCAGTGAGGGGCCGTGTGGTAAATGTGCAGGGTTCCTTAGATATGTGACATGGCCTGTGGGAGATTCAGTGTGCCACTCCTCTCTGAGCTTTGATGTGGTCTGAAAAAGAGCCTTAAATCAAGACCGTCTGGCCTGGAGGTGGGTAGGGAAAGGTGGAGAGGCCTTTATAATCTTTGTGATCTTGGCATCCCTGTTTGGTGCCTGCCCTCCTCCTCAGGGGAAGGACCATGCTTGTCTCTGCTCAAGCTGCTGCCTGGTAATGGCAGATTAGGGTGAGGGGCGCGGGTGAGGTCGGGAGCCCTAAGCTGTGACCCTGCCCTGTACTCCCTTCCTGTGGGTTAGCAGTTCTCTGGACAAGGGCAAGTTGTGTCTCAGGAAGGTGGCTTCTGTGTGTGCCTGGGGTTGGTTAAGACGTGGCCCAGAAGCCTTCCCTGGAGCTGTCAGCCCAGGCAAAGTCAAGAGCAGCCGAGCATGTGTCTGAATTCCCAGCACAGCAGGTTCCTCAGAGTGTGAGTTCCGTGAAACAGGGTGTAGCTCTTCTCCATACTCTGTGTGATCTGGCTGTGCAGGTGGGGAGAAGTAGGTGTAATTGAAGATTGTGCAGTTCCTAGTGACGGGTGCCAAGAGGTTACAATACGGGTGTCTTGGTCTGATGTACAGTGTGAATCAGTGCTTGCAGCTCTTAGTCCTTTTCTGATCAAGGAAGCACTTTTTTATTAATATTTTTCTTTGTATGTAAAGGAGGAACCGTAACTCTCCGTAGTTGTATATATAACCTTTTTCTCCTAAAGAGGAGTCAATCGTGCTCCTGTATTTTTCATTTTTTTGTCAAAGCAAGAAGTAAATACTTTAGAACTGTTAAATATATAAATAAAGTGAATAAAGTTTAGTGTTCTGCACGGCAGCCTTTGCTAACACTTCCTGGTTCTCCTCCCTGTGGTTTGTACCCTTTCCCTCTTACACAGAAGGTGGGTTGAGGTGCCGCTGGGAAACTGCCCCTTTGGCTAAGGAAAATTGCAGGTCTCTTTTCAACTCTGGACCTTGGCAAGGAGCCCATACCCGAGCACTGAGAACATTTCCTCAATGATTTTGCCCCGACACTTCCCAAGCTAAAAAAGACACAGCAATTAATTAGGTATCAAAATAGCCCTTCTTCTCCGTCTGAAGAACTGACATCAGTAGTGATTTAAACTACCTCGGGCCTCCCAGCTCCTCCTTTGGTTTTTGGCTCCTGCTGCTCTGACTTGAGGGGCAGCCCGTCCTCGGGCCCTGTAGTTCCCTGCACCCGTGGGCATCAGCTGCACCTGGAGTGGCAGGTAGGTACAGAGTGTTGCATGAAGAGTGCAGGGAGATGGGGGGAGGGCTAGAAAAGGCTCCCGCCCATCCTTGGATGATGGAAATGCGGGTGGACAGAGAATTTGGGGGCAGAAACAGAATCGGATGTGATTAGATTCGACCACTGGAGGTTTCGTACCCTTTCCTTCCACACCCAAAGAGGAACCTCTGCTCCTTGGATATGCATCCTCCACTTCCAACCAAGCGAGGCCATAGCATCCAGTCACTTCTTGATTAGTTCTTGTTCTTTGCAAAGGTGGACTTTCCCCCTGCATCACTGTGGGGGCAGCCTTCCCATCCCAGGAGTCTGTGGGTGAGATACTTTACACACTTCCTCCCTAGGGAAGGTTAGTGTTGAATGATGTTCCAGTCTGGGGTCAGTAACTCTTCATCTCTGTAGTGACTTGGCTGGGCTCCTGTGGTGATCCTGCTCAGAGACCTACTTAAGGCCTCAACTCTTTTGAGGTAGCCTCTCCAGATCACTTTCTGGATATACAGTCCTACAAACATCTGAGCTGGTTCCAGTCTGAAAGTTGTGTGCTACATCCAGCACCCAATTCAGAATTAGCCTGCCTTCAGTCCACCAAGGAGGCCCATCCGTGTTTAGACCAAGTTGTGTGAAAAACCTGAATGCTTGTCACAGACCACACGTGTGTGCACACACCTCCTGTAGTTGCTGTGGGCTCATGTTTTTGTCCTCATCCAGATACAGCACCAGCAGGGCCTGTCAGAGCTGTTGGGGACCATAGGTGAGCAGCTGAGGATAGGAAGATGGAGTTGACACAGGCCAGGATGCTGGCGAGACCCGACAGCACATGCCTCTGTGGGCAGGCCCCACGCTCTGCCGGCTGGCGTGTGGTGTGTGGAGGTCCGAAGCAGCGGGGTACCAGCAGTGACCTTGAGCTGCCAGGATGTCCTCGGTTCTGATTCCCTGTCCTGGTGCATGCTTAACTCCACCCTTCTTTCCGTGCTTGGATACCCTTAAACCCAGTCCAGAATCTGATGGAGCACGCTAACTGCAGAGCCGCCTTCATCCCCTGTGGTTTCCTAGCGAGGGTGGATGGAAATTTCTTCCTCGAAGTTTGCTACTGTGTTTATTGTTTATTTCTATGTTAGACAGCTAAGAACATTCCAAGAGTTAAAAAGGTACTGTGACAAATTTAAAGAGGAAGACATGAAATTTTATTGGGATCTGTTAATTTCCATCTATTTAAAAAATACCAAATGGGAATTGAGGGCATATTCACAGTAAAGTCACAGGCTTTTGTCCTTGAGATGGCTGGGATGCTTGGCTGCTTGCACACGAGGGGAGGAAGCCCAACGCCTAGTGAAGCTGTTAGTACCAGCTCTGACCTCTGTTGATCTTTTAAGACTCAGGGCTGATTGGAAGGTGCGGTTGCAGGGTTCATTTAGCTGGTGCCTGTTCAAGTGACCTGTCCTCAGGGCTGCAGCGGCACCCCCTGATTGCATCAGTGGAGAACAGGGCTACTGGCCCTAGAACAGTAGAGTTTAGAACATGGCTGATTCTTCATTAGTAGGAGTTTTGGGTAACGTGACAGCAGTCCCAGCTGTTTAATGTCTAGTCACATCTTCAAGGAAGCTGTTCTTAGTTGAAGTTAATAAGATTTCCTGAGGGCAGGACTAGAGTGTGTGACTCATCAGGAGACCCTCCTAAGCCTCTGGCTTTTAAACATGAATTCCACTGTCCTCAGCACACAAACTGAAGCCCTGTTCCTCCCTGGCACGTGAAGAACTCATCCACTCACGCCCTGTACATACACACTTGCCTCCCAGGTCGGAGAGGCCTCTTCTGGGCTCTGCAGGTGTCCCCGAGCGTGGATGGTGTGGAAAAGGAAGAGGGAAGGGGACTCTCTGAAGTGGGAATTAGGGTTTTTTTTTTTTTTAAATGCTGCTATTGTATTTTATTTTTCACTGAGGGTCTTTGGTCCTATCCGAGTTCTTGGTCAATTTTTCTCAGTGCTCATAGCAATGGCATTTGTCTTTTTAGTGAAACTTTGATTGGCATTTAAAATTGGCCTTTAACTGCTTTCCAGTTGGTTTATGTTTTTTTTTTTTTTTTTTTAAAGAAAACCTATGAGGCTCAGATGCTGTTTTAAGAAATAGACTGTGTGTGGCTGCTGACAGTAGTGCTTGCCTGTTGTAACAGCATCTCTTCTGGTGTAGCCTCAGTGACCACTGAAATGAAATAAACGTGTCATTTGCACCCACAGTTTTTCAGTCCCTGGATTTGGTTTGCCCCTGGGTGGGTGGACACTGGTTCTCCAGTCAGTGCTGGGACAATGTCAAGTGTGGGATGAACCAGCTCAGCCTCTTAGTTCAGGAGAAAGGGGGCTTGGGAAGGAGGGGGCAGAAGGGAATCTTAGGTTATTTAGTTCCATGGTTTTCAGACTGTTTTGGAGGACAGTTGTAGGGTGAGGGCCCCCATGCTCATCAGATTTCATGGAAGATTTGGTGCTTAAAACAGGTCTGAAAACAATGAGTTACTCTAGTCTCTTTCTTTGAGGAAACAGACTCAGGGAGGGACATAGGCTTCTCCAGGGCT